TCCATGCCCCCTAGATTCTGGTGGTTTGCTGGCTTTTGTGTGTGTGTGTGTGTGTGTGTGTGTGTGTGTTCCATGGCCTACAGACGTTATCACTTGATTTCTGCCTTCCCGCTCACGTGGTGTTCTCCCTGTGTGTGCATGTGTCTCCAAATTTCCCTTTTTATAGGAGCGCTGGTTATACTAGCTAGGACTATGTCTTACCTAATTAATTACATTTGCAACAACCTTATTTCCAAATATAGTCACATTCTGATGTATTGGGAGTAGGACTTCAACATACGAATTTTTGGAAGATGCAACCCAACCCATAACAACCTCCTAAAACACAGGTTACAGTCAGTGACCCCAACACCCTACTAGTCTTCACCACCTTTACAATCAAGGTTGCAAATTCTCAGATCAAAGCAAACTCCAGGTGATCCACACGAAAGCTTTTAGAGGAAATAAATAGAATGTTCTACTCATTGTTTCAGAAGAGTTACCTGCCTGACAGATTAGCAGTTTTAGACCATCCCCACTCTTCCATAAACTGTATGTGAGTCTAGGCAGGAGGGCAGTGCCCTTCAAAGTCCTTGCAGCAAAATCAGGATGTAGGTGGTAAAGCAAGTTAAACGACCTGCTCCCTAACTCTCCCAAATGAGCTGTTATTTTCAGGTGTGTGCAAAAGAAGTAAAATGCCTACCCACCCTAATAACTCAATACAACAACTGTATGAGTGTAGCCTTCAAGTTTCTGCGAAGTGTGAGCACCAGCAGGAACTATTCCAGCTCCAGTCAGTTGTTTTGCGTGATCGCCACTAGAGGGCAGGCCATTAAAACGTTCCTGTTAAACCAGCTGCTCTGCAAAAGTAAAATCTGATAAACAATGCCAGATTTAAAACGTTGCCTTTCTTTCACATATAATGGAACTACACATTCAGTGAAAGGCAACAACATTGGAAGCACTATCTTATTTGCACACTACTGTTTTTGGAGTAAATTAATAAAGTGTAAAGCCCATGAACTCACCTGCTCTTCCTGCTCTTTCACTTGGGAGTTCCTAGTGGTGGAGGACTAAATCGCACTGGCCAGTGCAGGTCCTGCCGAGTTTGGTTTGGGTTGATGGATACTGGTAGGGGACTAACTCAAGCATCCTCTCACTGGTGCCAAGCTTACATGAATACGCCAAAGGAAGTTTAATTCCTCAAAATAAAGAAGTCCTAAAAACTGTGATTTTATGAACTCTACCTGTGACAAACTTCCAAAAAGAAAGGCTTGGGTAAGCCTAAAGTTGGCTTCTGCTCCTCTGTCTCTTTAGAGTTCAGCTTTTCTGCCCCTTAACCCTATCCAGCTACATCTGCCTCGGCTGCTGTCATGTGTAAACCTGTCACCATGATAAGGCCTAGCTAGTCTACTTTTAGGCAAACACAACATTTTCCTTCTCATTCCAAGCCTAGGCTTCTCACTCCTGAGAGGGCAGCGCCTAGAAACAGCCCCATGGCCTGACTAGAGTGTCTTGGCCAGTGTTTACAGAGGCTCCCAGTTACCCCTCGAAGGTCTAAACAGATTGTCCTAGAGAAGCAAATCTTCAAGGAATCAATGACCAAGACCGCTGGGGCGGGCTGGCCAGATCGCTGGGCTCCAACTCCACATTGTTCGGCCTACCAGCTTCCCAGGGCTCCAGGCCAAGCCGGCCAGAAACAGACCCTGGGGAGCTAAACTGCAGGGCTATTCCATTCCTGCCCACACAAACACAGGGCATGACTGAGAATAAGAAAAAGCCAAGAGATACTTTTCAGAATTCCCTTGAGAGAAGAATGACTGGGAGGACCTGTGGCAGGAAGAAAGCTGAAAGAAAAGCAGAGGCTTATTCCTTGACAGAAAGAAGACATCAAAGTAGAAAGATTTTTCCAAGTGTTTCATGATGCCAAATTCTGCTTTGTAATTCCTGTGTTCATTTTTTAAAACCTCTAAGATATTTTTTTAAATCATGGAAGCAATGTTTGTGGTAACCAGTCCAACAATAGAGATACAGAGAAACTGAATAATCATCCCCCAAATCTACCTTCTAAGCACAGCAGAAACTTCCTGTAAGTTCCGAGTTTTGAAGACAAAGCATCCTTTTACTTCTGAGCTGTAATATTTCTCCCTTGTTGGCCTAGAGTTTGCCAAGAGCAAGGAGGACAAATTACCTCATGAGTATAAAATGATTATCTACTGCACAGTTAAGAAAACTCAAGAAACAGGGATTAGTGATCTTTCATTACCAAACTGGTAAATTCCCGTAAAGTCAAAATAACATTTGGTCTCAAGTATCCAGGGGAATGAGACAAAATGTTTTTCAAACAAGTCTTGGCACAGTGTCAGTGTCTGAGAATACTATATGAACCTTAAAATTTTGTTTTCATTTAATCTTTGAAGAACATCTTTAATATTTCTAAAGACAGAAGTCTTCTTTTGCAGTGATAACTCAAAATGAAAGTTAACACTTAACTTGGTATTTCTCAAATTGGTTGTTAAGATTCCTGCTCTAAGAAACTAGTGGAAATTATTTTCTCAGAAATAGGTTGTGAATATTATCAAGATTTACGTAGGTTCATTGTGCATTAAATTTCCAGTGGGACTTTCTTGTAAATACAGGCTCTGGCTCCCCCACTACACAATTGCTTGGGGCAAGGCCTAATAATCTGTAATCTACGTGGTCACTGCGTGACCATGACCAGCAGACAATGACCTTAGGAACAGGGATTTCCTACATGCCCAGCTCTGCCCCGTCCCTCATAAGTCAGCATCTAGGAGCACGAGACCTTTCCCTCCCAATCACAAATGTTCCCTCTCCCTGTCTGCCTTAGAGAATCAGAGCAGAGTGGTGGTTCTTAAATCGTGCTTCCAAAACGCACAGCAACAGAGTCACCTGGGAACTGGTCTAAACCGCACACTCTCAACCTCCCCCAGCCCCAGAACTACTGAATGAGAAATTCTGGGGATGGGCAAACACAGTAATCTGTGTTTCAACAAGCCATCCCATGATTCCGCACACTGAGGTCTGAGGAAAACTGAGTTAGAGAATTTTGAGATTTCAAGAGAGAAGAAATGAAAAAGGCACAACTCCATGTAAGGTCGAACCAAGTTTATTAATGACAGCCTTTATTACAACCACTCCCAAGTGTAAAAAATAAAGGGTGATTCATTAAAATTTAAAACTCACTCGGACTTCCATTTGGCCTTGCACTGGATGTGCCAAAGGGTGGGACTCTTGCCTGGTTTTGAATCAACTGGTCAGGTGGCGTTCACTAGAGAATGAGGTAATAAACATAAAAGACAAGACGGGGACAAGAGTGCCCACCGGAGGGCTCAGGTCTTCTCCGTGCCGGCACGATACGGCAGAAGGACAACTGCGGTGGGGCAGAGATGAAACAGAACAATCTCGCAGGGGAAGTATGGAATGAACATCTCTATACAGAGACGCAAAAACACACACATGCAGAGTCATACACACCCAAACTCTGGAGACGAGATTTTCAAAGAATTTTGTCCTTTCTCTGAGCAGATTGGCACATTCACCACCCACAGGGATGCAACATGGGGCCAAGATGGAAAGCCTTGGTAAATTTCCACCAAGTATGCTCGCTGGCTGCCCAGTGATGTGTTGGCAAGTGTGTCATCACCATGAAATATGCCTGTGGTTTTCCCAGCGTCCCACAGACTAGTATCTGCTGCCCTAGGAGAATGACATCCTGGTAGGCAACGGCTGGATTTAAATCTGGGTGCAGCACTCACCCCTCCCACCGGGGCGGGGGTGGGTGGCAGCGCCTGGAGGGGTTTTCCACCTATGGCACAGAGCAGCTGCCCCATCGATGCTCTCCCCTCCAAAGCACTTGTGCTTTGTCGCCATCCTGATGGTTAGTCTGCACTAAGAGAACAGAAGGAGCTCTGCCTGCGCACTCTTTCCTTTTTTTTAATAAAAGAAAATTAAAACCAGAAGAAAAAAAAAACCCATTTAGAAACTTTCTGATTGTGTTGACATTGCTTTGGAATGGGGTTTAATTCCATTCAAAGAGAAGGACGGCAGGACGCAGAAGAGGCCACGATGCCCAATACGGTTAAGGGACAGTTGAGTCCACAGACGCATCTGTGACGGCCCAGCTGGTCCCTTCCCAGCCAGGACGGACCTGCCACGCCTCTCAAGGCCATGAACCAGTCAAATAAATGCTGACCAAATCCCATCTATAAATGGTGTAGGGAAGATGGCAGAAAGAGTAGGTGGTGGATTCAGACTCACAGGTCATGCAGGAAGATTACACACAAAAAATTAATATTCGAGCTTGTAAGAAAACACTTCAAAATTTAAGAGAAACCATAGCTTTCACTTTTGGGAGACCAAAGGGGGAGCCAAAACCCCACAGTATTCCAGAGTTTCCAAAGAATCCAACACCTAATTTGGCGGGCTGGGGTGAGGGAGTATTTAACTAATACCTCATCATTAACTTCATTTTCTTCTTGGATTTCATTGATAAATAAAGCACAGGCCTACTTAGAAAAAACAGCTGTCCTGCCAACATTCAGCATCATGAAGTGTTCCCACGTCCTTGCTCAGTGCACATGAAACAACAACTTCTCTTAGGAGGCCAAGTGTGCCCACCCAAGTTACTTCTTAATGCGATCACACAATCTGACCCCAAAGACAAGCTGCTTTCTTCTTGGGATGAGACTTGTCACAGTTCCTTGAAAGGTACAGGGAGGGGAGGCCAATCCCCCACCCTCACAGGTAAGGGGCTTAGTTTTAGAAAAGATGCACTTCTTTAGGCCATGGAGCAGAACACGGTCCCTTCAAGGTGTGAGGAAGAATGACGCTGCCCCCCGGCCCTCCAATTACTAAAGTGCAGAACTGGACTGTTCTCCACACATTCAAGTACATCTGTGTTCCTCACCTTCCCTTTTTTCTCTTTTTTTGGTAAGTATCCAACCATCCATAAACTCATGGCTACAGTAGAGATTCATGGCGCTATGACTTTCATACGGTTTTGTTTTGTTTTGTTTAATTCTGTCAGTGAGCAGCATTTCCCAGTTTTACCCCCCAAAACAAGTTCTTGGCAGCTCCATCAGGTGGGATGGCAGGATGCCTCTGTGACAGGGGTCCATGCAGCGTGGATTCGGCTGGGCACGCTGGAGGGTCAGGAAGGCTGGGGCGTCCAGTGTCTGACAGCAGCTGTTGCAGGGCCTCCGCTCTACCAGCTGGCCCTGACCGCTTCAATGTCGCTCACCAAATTCTGGGCCAGGCATATCCCGAAAATCTGCGAAAAGAAGAAAGAGAATCAAACAGCGAAACTTGAACTTCATTAGGTTTTTCCTTAGCCAATGAATCCCATGTTTCTCATCTCTGATTTTTTTAAATTGACATATAATTCATATACTGTAAAACCTAACCTCTTAAAGGGCTTTATTCAGTAGTTTTTAGTCTATACACAGGGATGTGCAACTACAACCACTATCTGATTCCAAAACATTTTATTACCCCAAAAGAAACTGTACCCATTAACAGTTCTTCCCATCCCCCCCCAATCTCCACAGCCTTGGCAGCCACTAATCTACTTTCTATCTCTGTGGATTTGCCCATTCTGGACATTTCATAGAAATGGAATCATATCATACCTGGCCTTTTGTGTCAGTCTGTTCTCATATAGCAAAGTGTTTTCAAGGTTATCAATGTTGTAGCATGAACCAGTAGTTCAATCCTTTTGAAGGTTTGAATAAAATTCCATTATGTGGATAAACCACATTTTGTTCATCCATTCATTCATTGGGTGATGAACATTTGCAGTGTTTCCACTTTTGGGCTATTGTGAATAGTGCTACTAAGAACATCTGTGCACAAGTTTTTAGGTGAACATATGTTTTCAATTCTCTTGGGTACATACTCGAGAATAGAATTGCTGGGTCATATGGTAATTATTTAATTTTCTGAGGAATTGCCAAATTGTCCTCCATAGAGGCTGCATCATTTTCATTCTCTTCAGCAATGTGTGAGGATTCGAATTTCTCCACATCCTCGACTACTCTTGTTATTATCTTCCTCTTTAATTACAGTTGACCCTTGAGCAACATGAGGACTAGGGGTGCTGAAATCCCAGTCAAAAATCTGTGTATAATTAGAGTCAGTTCTCCACATACTCAGATTCCCAACCATGGAGCTGAACCTTGAACAAATCAAGTCAGTTGACCTATGTAAGTCAGCTGAATTGTGGTCAATTGAAAAAAATGCACTTATGAGTGGACCCACACAGTTCAATGTTGTTTAAGAATCAACTGTATATCCATCCCGATGTGTGTGATATGGTATGTCATTGTGGTTTTGATTAGAAGTTCCCTAACAACTAATGATGATGAGCATCTTTTCTTGTGCTTATGAGCCTTTGTATCTGCTTTCGAGATGTGTCTGTTCAAATTCGTTGCCAATCTTTAAATGGGGTTTGTCTTTCTAATTATTGAGTTGTTCTTTATATATTATAATAGCTGTTCCTTTTTAGGTATAATAATTTGTAAACATTTTCTCCCATTTTGTGGGTTGTAATTTGATTTTCTTGATAGTAGTTGCATAACAGAAGTTTTTGATTTTGATGAAGTTCAAGTTATCTACTATTTCTTTGGTTGCTTGTGCTTTTGGTGTCATAGATGGGAAACAATGTCTAATCCAGTCACGAAAGTTACACCGATACTTTCTCCTAAGAGTGTTATATAGTTTTAGCTCTTATATTTCGGTCTTCGATCAATTTGAGTTAATTTTTGTATATGGCGTAATGTTAAGAGTTCAAATTCATTCTTTCGTATATAGATATTCAGTTGTTCCAGCACCATTTGCCGAAAAGACTATTCTTTCCCTAATGAACAGTCTTGGTTTGCTTGTCAAAAATCAACTGATCATTGATGCATGGGTTTATTTCTTGACTTTCTATTCTATTTCACTAATTTTTATGTTCAACCTTATGCCTTTATGCACTATCTTGATTACTGTGGCTCTCAAGTAAGTACGGAATTGGAAAGTGTGAATTCTCCAACTTTGCTCTTTTTCAAATTTGTTCTGCTATTCTCAGTCGCTTGCATTTCCATATGAATTTTAAGATCAACTTGTCCATTTTTGGAGGAAAGAAAAAGGGCAGTTGGAATTCCGATAGAGATTGCACTGACTCTGCAGATCAATTTGAGGAGTACTGCTACTACCTTAACAATATCAAGCCTTTCAATCTGTGAATATGGAATAGCTTTCCATTTGTTTAGGTCTTCTTTAATTTCTTTCAATCACTGTACTCTATTTGTGCTCAAAGAAAAGTAGTGCATCTCCACATGATGAAAAAGCCTAGCTCTGAGGCTGCCCAGGAGGAAAAGTGGGCAATCCTTTGCCTCACTAGCACTTGCGAAGGTGCTGCAGAGACAGGAAGGGGCACAGCATGTCTGTGAAAATCCAAAACAATCCTCTCTGCTCGGATCTCCTTTTGTCTACTCCTGTGTGCCCAGCTGTCAGGTGCAGCATTATTGAGCCCAGGGAAATGCTGACATGTCAGCAGGCAGCTACTGACCCAATCAATTTCTCGGTCTTTAAAAGGAACAAAGGTTAAATCAGAGCTTTAATAAAATACAAACCAAATAATTTTGGTCTGCTTCCCAGCCCCTCCAATTGTGTCTTAAAAACTGTGGCATTAAGGTGATTAAGCAAAGCTCCTGTCCTGGTGAGGGTCCTTCCAGGGCATCATTTCCCTGTGGCCTCCAGGAAGGAGCCCTGTCTTACCTGTAGCAATGCAATGCCTATGAATATCCCAGCCACGATGGTTAAATTGTCCTGCAACCACTTCTCAAACTGGGGCACGCAGCCCTTCGTGTAGATTACAATCTGCTGATCGACTTCCTTCACAAGGGAAGAGGAAAGCACAGCATCACCATGCAAGTTCAAAAGATCCTCCAACACCCTCTGTGCCAACAGACAAGGTGATATTCCACTTACTGGTTTCTGCCTGGCATCATAGCCACACTGAGTGTTGATGACATCTTCCTGGTGGAGAAAGAAAACAGGACAGTGAACTGACGCCTGTTAGAAAGCCCATGGAGGAGTTAGCAGAAGATCCCCATTAAATGTCAGTAATAAACTGCGCATTTGGGCATGCAGATAGACCAGGTGCCTTGTTGAGCACTTCTGTACATTACCCATGTAATTATTCTAACAATCCTCAGAAGTTGGTACTAAAATATGCCCCCTTTTCCAAATGAGGAAAAGTGAGGCTCAGGAAATAGCAGAAAGGAGAGCAAGCCTACTATGTGGGAGGCGCATGATTCAGAGTTGATGCACTTCGGTATGCTTATGGGGTTTAGGGAGCTGGAGAAGTACATAAGCCATGGTCAAAGGGTACAATGACTATCTCCATTTTTGCTTTCTTGGGGGAAACTTTTACTTTTTAATTTATATGTTTCTGTATTACTTAAACGGGTTTCAATGAGAACACATTACTTCATTAAAAATAAAACAATACCCTAATCACATATCACATGGACAGATATTCTGACATCCGACAGGCCTGGTGAGAAATGTGGGTGCCCCTCTTTTAGGTTTATTTTTTCTCCTCTGCAGGGCATGGGTAGAATTTATCAGCTTAGCATTTATGAAATGAGATATCTCTACCCAGAGGATCTGTAGTCAAAAGGGAGGCACAATGCCTTCTAAGAGTCTTCCGAACTCATCTGATGGGATACTAACACAGGCAGGAACTGGAGGCAGAGCACAGTCGGTATCTACCGGCCAGCACGAGGTGGCCGGACTGGGCACGCTGGCTCTGTGCTGGGCCCTCCCGCCTGCTGGTTCTCCTCGAAGGGAAGGGAGAAACACACCAGTGGGGAACATTAGCTGTCCTAGCAAGATGCCAGAGCAGGAAGCACAGCCCTTACTGATTCTCAGTCTCCTTCAGAGTGAGAGGAACAGCCCAGGCTGACCCCGTGCAATGGGTGGCCTGCACGGTGGAACTTCTGCTTTTCCGTCCGAGACCACGGCCTCTTTTAAAGAGTCCCATACTCTCTACCTTACAGGGGAAAATGGCCACTGAACTCATCAGCGCCCACTCAGGTCTGCTTGACGAGGGAAGGGCAGCTCCGAGGGTGAACACCTGGGGACTGACAGGCCAAAGAGAGGCTAAGAAGTCCAGAAGGCACAAGTGCAGGAACAACTCGTATTTGTCATTCTGGCTTTTAACTTATAATAAGAGATTGTAAATCGTTCTATATAGCAGGTCCATAACTGGACCCAAAATAATGCAATCAAGTCCATGGTAAAACACACAGGCAAATAAAACTGCAGTTAATTGTGGTCATTACAACAGACAGTCTGGGCAGCTGTGATCTTCCCACATAGCATTCTGGCCCTAACTTGCCTCAAACTCTTCTATTTCCGCTAGACCTAAGTCAGGAAGAGAAGGCTTACTAACCCCAAACCAATGCAGAGCGCTCTCTCAGGTAAGCCTGTTCTCCTCGTAAAGAAGGAATGACAGGCAGCACAGGCGGGCTGCCTGGGTCTGAAGCTCAGCACCAACACTTGCTAGCAATGCGAGCTTGCGAGAATTTACTTACTCCATGGGCCTCAATCTCACCTAAAAAGGGAAAGTAATGGTGGTGCCTGCCAGCAGGAATGTTCTGAACTTCAGTGAGCCGAGGCACAAAAAGGCTTAGACTAGGAACCAGCACACACTGCTAAATGAATGCCAGTGATTACTACTCCGACGGGGAAGAACTGAGGACTAGAATCCTTGCAGGAGCTACAATTAGGACTAAGTGGGTAAGAAGAAGTTTTAAGAAAAAAAAAAAATCTCTGTGTTCATCCCACACGCTGTCCTGTGTGCTGTGCTGAGCAGGGGAGCAATATGCTGGCGTCCACTTACCGCGGGATCCTTAGTACAGCAGGAGAAGGGCACGCCGCATCGCTCCCGACTTGCATTGGAATCTGTGCAATTGAAGTAAATATTTAGGTTCCAATCATCAGCTCCAAAAGCCCCACAGCACTGCCACTAGAGCAAACAGGAGAGAATTAGAACATCTCAACATGGAGGCCACCAGGCGCCTACACTCACACCCACCCAAACTGCCGCCACCCAGCTCCTGCCAGCTCTAACCTTTTCTTCTGTCTCAGAATTTATTTTTAAACCAAACTGAACCTAAACAGCTCCTGCAATAGCTTGCAAAATAATTAAGGCTGAGGGTTTGTAAGGATGTGTTGGCACGCGACTTAAAAGAGTGATGAGGCCCATGGCGTCAGGTGGGGGAGGGGCGGGGCAGGTGCTGCACAGCAGGGTTCCGCAAGAACAAAATGGGTTTGGTTGGAGCGCATGTAGGAACATTCTCGAAGGAAAAACAAGACACTAAACAGTAGTGTCAGAAGGAGGCAACTGGGGTTGTGGGTGGGACATCTAGAGACTTCCTTTGTTACAATTTTGATCTCTAACACCTCAAAGGTTTTTTTTTTTAAAAAATCCGATCTATTGAGGTACCACTGACGTATATTAAACTGAACATATTTACAGTGTACAATTTTATAATTTTTCACATACGTATACATCGTGAAAACATAACTATAATCAAAATTGCGGACACCCCCAAAAAATCTAACACCCCCAAAGTTTTAGAGGCTTACTTTTCATTATGTATCTGTTAGGACTCTGAATTTGTTTTAGACAAAAGCGTTTATTTACATTTTCAACTTAAAAATGCAACTGTCTCATTAAAATGTAAGAAAACAAGCTGTTAAATTCTATGGGTCTTCAGCAGGGCTATTCAAAGGCCCCTTGTCACCTCTTCCCTGGGCTGGACTGGCTCTACTTCTCCCAGTTAAATAAATATCCAGCCTTGACCATTTTAACATGTTCAGAACCAACAGCTACTTCAAAACATTAAAACTCCATGACAGAAAAAGGAAATTGTATCAAGACAGTATTGTCATATAAAGCAGATGGCATTTCAAGAGAACATGTTTAAGCATGTTCCTCCCCTTCATCTGGTCGTCTGAGGGCTTGGGCTGTGCCTCTCAAGGTTTGTCTGCAAAGCTCCATCAGATCTGTCGTGCAAAGAAGGCAGCCATCATACTTGGCAAGGTGCGAGCCTGCAGCCATTACAACCTAACAAAACAGTGAAGTTTCATCGGCTAAGCAGATGAAACAGGGCTCACTTTCACACCTGAGATACAACTTATTCCAGGGCAGTCCCTGCTGCCACCAAAACAAAACCAACAATTCATGGTGCCTCCTCCAGGGCGAGTGCTGAGGTGTCCCTCTCCTCCCTTTTTCAAAAGGGACCCCAGTTCATTCCGGAAGGCTCATCCCCTGGGCTTCTCTGTGCTCTCCAGTCCTGCCATGTACGTTAATATAATGGACACCACTGTCCAGGTCTGCTCAGCTTATCCCATTTTTCCCTGTACACAAATAAACACCTATCCGTTTGTAGGACAATAACACCTTAAGCCTAGTATAAAACCATGCATGTCTTATTAGAGTGTTGTAATATGTCCATGAGTTAAACTGTAGCTTTCATCATTTCCACCTTATATTGGGGAAATAGGTCATGGTCCTATCAGCTCAAGGTCACTTAGCTAATCAGATTTGAGCACCAGGTCTGTATCTTCTGAGCCCTGTTTATATCCTTTTGCATTTTGAACGGGACAGGGAGATTGCTACGTCCTTTGCATTGCTGGGGCCGTCACACAGAAATGCTCAGAAGCCGGGGTGGCAGGGTGTCCACTGTACAGATTCTTCACTGGTCAGAGGTCACCCGGGCTCAGAACTTTCTCAGCTTTTGGTTTTAACCACATGTGCTATAATAATACTTGAATAGGTATACTTTAGGAACTTTTTTGACCAGTATTTTACTGATAAATATAATATTCTGAGCTGTGAAGTGCGGAGGATGACCAAAAATGGGCAAGGAACAAGAAAGAACTTATATTTAACACCAAATACAATGATAAATCTAGAGCAAAACAGTACTCTTTAACTGTTGACAGCAAAGGGCAACTCTGATTAGAACCTTCTTGCTCAAGAGTTTTCTTCTCTGTTCCTCTCGGTAGAAATTAAGATAAGTGAAAATAGGATATTTCCATTCAGGGCACAACTCATGGAAGTCATAGAACAAGTCAGGAAATAAGTGGATGAGCAAACAAACCAAAAATCATGCAGAAAAGTCAGAGGTAGGTTCCAGCTGGCAGATGCCGAAGTCAGGAGGATGTACTTTGGGGTCATCCTTCCCAGAAGGCTTTCAACTTGAAAATAAACCAAATGTAAACTTACATATTCCTGGGTGAAGTCTATGAGGTTTTGCAAATCAATGTCATCCCTGTACGCTCTGATGTTGTTGTTTATAAAGAAATACAGCTGGTCTTTGATCCAGTCTTTGAAAACAAATGCCAGAACCCCGGCAGTGAGCTCCAGGAAGAATATAATTCCCAGGAACACAGAAAACTAAGACAAAAGACACACACACAGAGAACAGTTATAAAGGCGAGTTTGCTCATATACAATTAAATAGCTCCTTCTAAAAGGGTTTGTAATTACATTGGGTTGTTACACACATCCAAAGCAGATAACCTTCAATTCCTTAAGACTCATTAATAAAATACTACGTTTCAAGAAAGGATTTTAAAAAAATCAGGTCATATTCACATTTTGACACTCTGGTGGTCCATTTGGCAATTAACAAACAAAGTTCATAAGCAAATGGATAATAGGAATTTCTCATTAGACCCACATTAAGGCCTAATGAACTTCTCCTGATTAATGTGCTGCCAGGCACTGAACAATGATCTGTCCCCTACCTCTAGTAGGTTTTTGTAACACTGAAAAAGAAATCACCCCAATATTTTAAGATCACCCGTCATTTGTTACTGTGGCCTTGATCCTGTATGCAATATAGTCCTTCTATGGATTCAGGCACTGCTTTAATTCCCCTTTGCACCTGGTACCCAGGGTAAAATAGCAGACATGTTTATCTTAGATGAAGAGATCAAAGAGGAAGTTGGGGGGTGGCTGCGACATGAAAATAATTTCCCATCGAGAAAACAAAACGAAACCATCAGGTTGAGGGCCTTCCTTTGTGAAGCACCAGTGTCAGAATATGTTGAATAACATCAACATACAGCCACTGGGAGACTTCTGGCTAATGCAGGCAACAGGAGTTTAAAAAGGAAGGTGAGAGACCATGGGCGATGTGGTGCTGTCCATACATCTGGAGAAAATTCCCTTCCATCTAGAACACTCTGAAGAGCCTCACCTTAGTCATATCAATATACTATTCATACCCGCGGTTCTTTCCACTTCCTCCGACACCCACATTCTTACCCTTCTCAAATATTTTTGCTCATACAGATTATGAGAAATGAGGCTATAAAGGACGAGGGTATAAACTGCAGGCAAACTTCTGGTGACAAGGACAGAAAGGGCGGCGCTGGGGACACACTGCTTAGAGCTCCTGAGGGCTGCGGGAGGTTGTGGCTGACGGGGCAGAGGGGCTAACGCTGCCTGCTGTTTCTGGTCAGCGAGCAGACGTCAAGCAGCCAACCAAGAGAAAACTTATTTGGGGGGAAGGGTATAAAAGAAACTACACAGTTACTTAAAATTAAAAAAGACAAAAATATGTTTATTCATTCAGCAAACATCTACTGAATGACTTGTAACACATCAGGCCTTGAGCTGGGTGGGCTTTGCAGAAGCAAGGATGAGCAGGACCACACCCCTGCCTCCAAAGAGCTTACAGTCGTATGGAGTTTGGGGGCGGTGTGGGGTGGAGGACAGGCGGTGGCATGGCACCACTTCACATTAGATGTCAGTATACCTGACGGTGTTTATCCAGGGTGCCAAGTGCCCTTCTGGGAGGGTGGGCATGAGGAGAGGGTTGGGAGAAATAAGTGCCTGGTGAAGTCCAGGGCCCCAAGGTTTGGTTAGGCCCCACATCTAGGCTGCCAGCCCAGCCCCTCAGGTTCCAGAGAGCTCCCGGTTATCTGCCCTCAGCGAGTTCACTGGCAGGAGAATCTAAAGAGCTCTTCCTTATGACTAGTGGTACCAAAGTGATTTCAAAGTGAACCTTCCTCAATCTACGGGGGGAAAAAAAAAGGACAGAAAAAAATCATATCACTTTTACTCAATGCCTACCCTACAGCATAAAACAACTCCCCTCCCTTTATTATGTGACACTGTACATGACAGTTATCACACTGCAGAAATGAGAAAAATCATAGCTACCTCACATGTGTGTATATATACAACACCAAGCCAGAAGTCATGCAAAGGTTTTAATTACATTTTTGTTCTGACCTTTATAAAGGCTAGGCAAGTTCATTTCCTAGTTACCCTGGTAAATTTTTTCATGTTACAAAATATACATATCAAAAATTGAGTCCAAATTAAATCACTATCAAATATTTGGCAGAATCCTGTAAGCCCTGAGCCCTACAAGCTAATTTCCCCATTTTCAATGGTGCAGAGATGGACTCACAGGCTTCATTCTGGGATCTCAGCTGATAAGAAAGCTCCATTTCCATTTCACGTGGACTTTCCCTAGCTCTTGGATTTTTCCCTCAGCAATTCTTCTGGCTTTATGGCATCAGACCATGGAGACCTCCTACTTACTTAAAAGACCATTCTAGGCCAGGTTTTACTAAATGGAGAAAGAGACCAAAAAATATTCCCCAAGACTTAAAAAAAGTCAAGAAACAATACAATTCTCTTCATTTCCAACATAGGACTTTATAAATTAAGGTGATGATTTAGAGAAATGTCTATATTTCTGTCTATTCAAGTGAACGCTAGTATCTTCATCCATTAAAAAAAAAAAAAAGGCGTTACCCGTATAAACCAGTATGATTCAAGTGAATCATATTCAAGGGAATCCCACATTTGGGGGTCTGGAGGATAAACTTGATTAAAAAAATAGTGGCAACAAGTAAGTATGATGAGGCCCAAAGGGCTACAGAAAAATTCAGTGAGGTGAACTCAAGCTCTAGAAATATCTTGCCAAGAGGACTGGCAGGTTGGCAGGTTGTGACCAGGGACAGAACTCTGCTCTGTGTATGTATGTGTAAGACAAATGGAGTTTTGAGGAACTAGCTTCTCCCACCAGAGATCTGTGTGTACAGAACAGAGATCCAACTGCTCACTACATTGTACATAGGACCAAGTATCCCTTGGTTTGCCCCATTCACATGAGCTTCCCAGCGAAACAGCCTCCGGATTCTTGTCTGGGCCAGAGCTGCCCAAATTCCAAGTGGGCTACCCTGCATGGACAGCGAGTCTGCTCTTCTTAGGGATGTGCAAGAAAAAATGCCAGAGGAAGATGTGGCAGACACATTGGGAAAAGAATTCTGCACTGCAGCTGGGACTGTTTCTGGCCTACGCTCTTGTTTTCAGTGAAAATGGTCCTCAGTAATGTGTCACTACAGGATAAGAATCATTCTAAAAACAGGTAATAGTTACACTCATACTATTCTCTAGAAATCCTACCATCTTCCCTCATCAGAGGAGGGTGGGTTTTTTCCCATCCTTTTTCTGTTTTTGGAAAGGGCAGTGGATGCTGCTGTGACATGGCTGCCACCAGAACGCCCACATCCAGACTGACAGGCACGTGCGTCTGACCTCTGGCGGCACTTAGTGAGCCCGTCTCACATACCTACGGGCGCGCATAGGCCGCTTTGTTCTCCTTGGAAGGAATCTCCAGAGGAGAAGCTTTCACCTTCCATTCTCCACCTTTACGTTTAATTCCTATCTACCCCCTAGGAAAACTCCTCTTCCAAATCTAAGCATGCTGACAGCGATCGCGCCAAACACCCTGCAAGGGACCTAAAAATTTGCTGGTCATAAAAAAGGAAGACTGTGCCTTCTACTCTTTCTCCATACTCACCAAAATCTATGCTTAACAGATTTAATCTGGATAGGCCACAGCCACTGTGCTTACATCTGGTTTCTCTAAACCAACCGGCTGAAAAATTTTCTACTAATTATGTGCTTAAAAGAGAAAGCAAAAATCACTTAAAAGAAGAAAACTATATATAGAACAACCTTAATTCTAAAGGTTTTTTAAGGACTGAAATGCAAAGTCGAGATATACATGTATGAAACCTGCAGGGATAAAGTGGGGGGCCGGGGTGGGGGGGGAGGTTGATGCATACATTATTAAGGAGGCATAGGCAGGGAGTGGAATTAGCGAGCTCCCCTAAAGAAAAGCATTATCCATATTTTTGCCATATTTACCCATCAGGAAGGCCCTCAACCTGATTTTACCCATATTTATGGCAAAAGCCATATAGTTGCCAATGCTCTTCGTACAGCTCACTCTTGCCTAAAAAACAGGGTGTCCTCCTGGTGTGGCTATGTGTGGTATTCATCCTGGGAGCAGAGTGTGATACTTACAAATTTGAGAAGGAAAGTGTTTTCCCGTAGAGCTCCAATGCACCCTGCAAAGCCCAAAATGAACATCACTCCTCCCACCACAAGGAAGAGCCAGACCGGGTCGAAGCCGCCGAGATCAGTAATGGAAGAGATGTTGGACAGAACTCCCTGCAGGCAGAAAAGAACACACAACAGGGCACCGGACACAGGGTTAGTTCTCCAACATGAAAAGCTTATTGCAATTGATTTTCCCCTCTCCTGAAGAAAAACTGGATAGGTAATCTGATTATTCGGTGTGCTTAATACTCAGGAGACACTGCAAAAAAAGAAAAAAACAGAAAACGACTTTCTTTCCAAGTCTAGATAGGGTCATATTTTAAATGGTCCTAAGAAACCATCCTCGGGCCCTGCAGGGAGAAGATGCGGAAATTACCTTTGCATTCTATGTCCTCAAACTTCAGTGTTCTGGAGAAAATAGCAGGTGTGTAAGAAAAACACCTCCCCTGTACACCTGAAGCTAATACAAAATACTGCTGAATGTAAACTGCAATCAAAAAATTAAAAAAAAAAATTTAAAGGGGTTAAAAAGAAAAACACCTCCCACTCCCCAGGAAGAGAGGTCATCCTTAGTCCCAGGACACAGGGATGGCAGATGAGCAACTGCTTCGAGCCTTTGGCATTTCTCAGGAAATAACTGCATGTCAGAATCTGCCCTTGAGCTTCACATATCCATCAGGCTGAGAGCCTCAAAGCTAAGAATTAGGGTTTAAATGATTTAGAAATCAAAGGTTACTCCCTAGGTTTTAACCCTTTTATTCTCCTACCAAATGAACCCAGAGTAATCTCATTTCTCCACAAACAATGCCATTTCTTTACTGACGGTCTTTCTCCCTTACTGTGACCACATCAAATATAATCCAAAAGTCTGTTAAAAATTCTGAGGTTTTTTTCCTTCTAAAATGCATGGTACAAATTTACATTCCTTCCTATAGAGACCAGCTACTGTTATTTTCAAACTGGGTACATAAGGATTCTTAAATACCCAGTACCACCAATACTTTTTTTTCTTTTTTTTCGTTCTTTCTTTTTTTTTAAATACATTTGTCTCTGCCCCCCCCCTTTTTTTCTTATCTTACTAAATTATTTTTGAACTCTCAAAATACCCACTGAGTATCATGGTATAGTTGGCTATAAAGTCTTAATATTAAATAATTTGTTTTCACAGCATTCTCAAGAACCTGGAAGAATACAAAGTATTCATCTGATTTCATACTTGTGAAAAATGGAACCTAGAAAGGTTTGGTGACTTGCTGAAGGTCACACAGCTATTAATTGTTTTGGACCCAGAAAACAATGTTTACTTCAGTACTCAAAAAAAAATAAAAGATTGTATGTATGTATGTATTTGGAGGGGAAAAGAAGGGAGAAAGAGAGGGAGAGGAACATCAATGTGAGAAACATCAACTGGCTGCCTCTCACACACACCCCAACTGGGTACTGACCCACAACCCAGGAATGTGCTCTAACCAGGAATCAAACTGGTGACCTTTCGCTTTATGGGATGATGCCCAACCAACCCAGTCACCCCAGTCAGGGCAGCACTATTTTCTACCAAGTGGAAGGCATGTACTTGCTTCCAAGCATTTTCCAGTCAGCACTCATCAACACCTGACTCTGGGAGTTTTAAGCTTTAGCCCATTTTAAAGTAGTATGAACATTTGTGGGGGGAGCATCACCTTAGGAACCATAACAGGATATTAATCTAGAACACATATGAGGAATTAGGAAGTCTTAAAATGTACAGCTTAAACCTTATGAAAAAGGCCAAAGGTTTAAATGTATCACAGCTGAAGGGCCGAGAGACCATGAAAGCACTTAGGAAGGTAGGGTATATCCACTGACTTCTGGGCCGACATCACGGGAGGAAACCACACCCTTCGCCAGACTGCAGAGGCCAATGGTTTGGTTCAATCTCGTGTTCTTAGGTATCCCAGCTCTGAACTATGAGTCCTGGTGGGATACAGTACAGAAACACAATACCAATTTTTCACCCTCACAAATGATGCTAAGAAAAGTCCCACAAAATATGAGTGACAGTGATGAAGATCCAGTGTTAGAAATCAATCACTCTCTCCCCTCTCGGAATGCCTTTAAACACAGTTAAGTTTTAGATCTTATCCAGAGGAAAAGAGGTCTTTGGGAGTACATGCTAACACTTAAAATTTTAAAAATCAACTTAATTATGGGAGAAGAAGACTCAATTTACCTGGCACCAAAAAGAAGAGGCAGCAGAGGTTGAAGAGACAGGAAGGGATGTAAGGTCCACCATAACGAGGCCTTTCCAATACCAGCATGTCTGCAGCAACAGGTCAGAGAGGCTGCCCGAGACCCGGGCTTCCCCTCTAGGATGACCCTGACCTCTGCCGGCCGTGCTCCAGAAGGGGCTCCCAAATTAGAGGGGAGCCTGGGACTCACCTTTAAGTTCCTTCCAACTCTAAGGCCATTGTATGATTTCATCCATTTTTAATGGGCTTTTTATTTATGATTCACACTCAGGTCTGAGCAAAGATCACATTGTTCCCACTCTCCCGTGATCCAAGGCTAGACACGAATGGCTCAGTGAATCACAAGGACAGCTATCTGGGCAGACCAAGCAAGCCCACGAACGCACCTGGGCCTGACACGCCAAGGCACTCCCGCCCCAGAGGCAAGAAAAGTCCCATCCCAGTTCACAGTAGGCTCCTGGATCGGCTGTCCTCTCTGGGTTTCATCTGGAGGGTAAGAATTTGGCTTCTCAGACAAACTCATTTTCATACTTTCACTCTCCCCAGCCAGCAGGTTGTTTTAACTGCGAGGCCTTCCACTGTTTCCATGGAAATGATAAACACTGGGGGCTAGCTGGACTGCAGATTCTACTCATTTAAACCTAAATTTGGGCAAAAGACTGGGCTGGAGACAGATACTGAGAGGGTGTGGGAAAAGACATTCTGCAAAGCACAGAATGATCAAGAATTTTATTTTTAATGGATTCAGAGTAGACCCAGGTAGTTACCAGGTGAAAACTAATTCAAATCTCAAAACACAAAGTGTGGAAGCCAATGCCCAGTGCCCTATGGTTAGGACTTGACTCTCACGTGTGCAATGTCTCCAATATTCTCTGAAGGGCAGGCAGTCTCACGGCTTCTGACTGCACAGGGAGATTAAGGAGGAGCCGAATGGAATGCTGGCAACAAAGACCGGCTTACGAAAATGAAGGCGAGTTGACAGCTCAGCTTTCTGTTGTCTTCAAGATGGGGTCTCTCATTGGACTTTGTAATTTTGTTAAGCTCAATTTGACAAATGAATAAGAAGTGCTCGAACATGCCTACTGAATAATTATAATTAAAGCTTGTAGTTGACAAGAAGCCGGAAGAAAAAAAATCTAAGATTACAGTTAAGTGTGCCAAGTGATTTAAAATAGACATTCATTAGTGGTAAATCCTGAGGAATGTGTAAAAACAACACCAGCAGACACCTGGTCTTCTGGGAACCTGTGGGCACCACCTTCTTCTTTAGGGATGTGCACTTCCCTCTTCTTGTAAGAATTCCTTCTCCCACAAATCTGCTCCTCAGAGCTGCCAATTCTCATATGATCCCACCGGCTCCGCGAGAGTTGGAAGCCTGAATTCCCTTCTTCTGAAAGTAGGATTTAGAACAGGCATCTCTCTCACGTGGCTGAAGCTATAAAATACCAAACTGTGGAGCCACAAGCAATATGTTTTTCACCACATGACCAAAACCGGAGCTCACATTTTATGCTGGAAATAATGTATTAGGGATGGGGTGGGGTGCAGACAAGGGGTAGAAGCAAGTGCTGAATTTAATATGGGTCCTTTTCTCAGCTGGCTGATATTTCCAGTCAACATAACCACTAAGCCAGTGTAAACAGTTTTCCTTCGGGTTGATTCACTAGCAATTCCATGTCATTAATGACATGAGTTCTGGATGGAACTTTTCGGTGGTTTGTCTATGTCACTGACAAATAATACATGATTTGAGCTCCAATTCTCCATGTAAACTTGAATGCTCAGTCCTTGGGTTTAAATGCCAACTTATTAGGATTCAAATTTATTGAAAAAAAAAAAAAACATGCAAAATGGGATTTGGCTACTCTTTTCTGTACCCAGAACTGTTGCTTATGCAAGAAGTGTGCACACAAGCCTGGCGCTTGTAGCCCAGGTGTAGCTTCCTATCCTTCTTCACGTGAATCCTGCAGGTAAAGCCCTGGGAGGGAAAGATGCCAAGGATACCGGACTTTGTGGAGGAAGGCTGAAAATACCCTGTGAAGCCGAATTGAATGGGAATGAGGATAAATGGATGACAAGCAGAGCAAATAGCCACGTGTACTTATTCCTTTCACCATTTCTTCTGGCCAACATGAAAGCAGAATTGTGAACAGTTGCAGCAGAGACAGAAAGAGAAAGAATAAGAGAGAGAGTCAGAGACCGAGACTGCAGTCACAAAAAAAAATATATTCAGATATTACAGACTAAAGAATATAGGAGAATTTCCCACACATATGTTCTTTATTGATACATTATTAAGGCCCTGGCTGGGTAGCTCAGTTGGTTGGATCATTGTCCCGATATATCATGGTTAAGGTTTGATCCCTGGTCAGGGCACATATACAAGAATCAACCAATGAATGCATAAATAAGTGGAACAAAATTAATGTTTCTCTTTCTCTCTCCCTTCCTCTTTCTCTAAAATCAATAAATGTTTTTTTTAAAAATCAACGAATGAATGCATAAATAAGTAGAACAACAAATCAATGTTTCTGTCTCTTACCCTTCTTCGCTCTCTCTAAAATCAATCAATAAAAAAATTTAAATAATTATATTAATGAAAACTGATGTAAATGAACACTTACAAGAATTCTATACTTCATAGCCATACTGTATGCTCCCGTATCTATATTCTTCTGCCCCTCAGTCATCTAAAGTCTACACCTGTTGCTGCAGCAGGCACCAGGGCCAAAAACAAATCAACTGAACCATAAGGTACTGCTATAAAGAAGAAATGCACACCAGTCAATTTCAAAAGTTGAAAGAAACAAATATATTCAGCAAATTAGCCATTCCACAAATTTGCTTTTGGACAACTAGCTCTTGGCATGTCAATCTGAAGCC